CCCACGCCTGCAACCGCCAGCCAGCGCCCGCGTGCGCAGCGCCTGGCGAGCTGTCGACCGAGCCAGCCCGACTTCCCGGTTCAGTGGACCGGCAGTCCGATCCAGACCGGTTCGGATCGGCTGGACCGATTCAGTCAGTTATTGTCAGTTTCAGTCCCGGTTCTCAGTTTCAGTGTCATTTTCAGTTAAATTCTGGGTCAAGTTNTTTCAGTGTTATTTTCAGTTAAATTCCGGGTCAAGTTCAGTTCAGTTAATTATTGTCGACTCAGTTTCGTACTTAGCAGTTTCAGTTATGCCGAATAAGTCCGAATGTCATATCAGGTTCGATAGAGCATCTTAACATAATTAAACAGTTAAATTATCAGTCTGAGCATAGTCAATAGTAATTGTTTATATTATTTTTCAGTTTGATCAGTCATCAGCACTACCTTTCAGTTTCAGTTTCAGCAAATTCAGGTGGGGACTCAGACTAAGTACTACATGGTTCATAATTACGTTACCATGGTCGAGGTATGTATAATCAGTATCCGCTCGGAATGGTTGCCGGTCCATTCTAAGTTCTAGTGGCCTAATCTAACCACTAGAGTGTGCACATGGTCCGGTATTAGTTTTTGCCGGGAGATTTCAGTTATCAGTTAAGCGACTTATGTTGCGAGATTCAGTTATCAGTTACGTGACTTATGTCGCGAGATTCAGTTATCAGTTACGTGACTTATGTCGCGAGATCAGACCGGTTATCAGTTATCAGATATCAGTTTCAGTTTCAGTTCAGTTATATATGCTCAGTTCATGATATAGTTATTATTTACGATGTTTTACATTAGTATGAGTTTCTGCGGAGCACAGTGCCATAGTGCTCATGCCCCACATTTTTCATGTTTTTCAGGACGCAGGGTCGGAGACGAGGAGTGAGCGGGCGAGCTGTTCAGGACATTTATGATTGTTGTATTTTATGTTTAACCACGCTAGACTTCCGCTAAAACTTTTCAGTACTTATTATCAGACTTTGCTCCGACATTAGTCGGATAAGACATTATGACCGTTTTTATGTATCAGTTTAAATTTTAACGGTTTTCAGAAAATCAAGTTTTTCACGGTAGCCCCCGAATCAGTTTTCGCAAAATAAGTATTTTATTTATTTATTCAGAAAATTGCGAAAAATCGCGTACTCTGATGTATTTAAGATAGCGGGGTGTTACAACGAATCTTCTTAATGGAATGCTTGATTTCATTTATCCCATCCACCACTACTAAATTTATAATGTGAACAATGCACCTCATATGAAGAAACTTGCCTTTCACAAAAGCACAACCCCAAAGACAAGTATCATTAGAAGAGGCATTATCAACCGTAATAGAAAACACCTTTGAAATTCCCCAATCACGCAAACAACCATCTATTTGTCTTCCTAAATCCTCACCCTTGTGACTCTCAATGGGACAAAAGTTGATGATCTTTTTATTTAAGCTCCATTCTTCATCGATGTAGTGGGCATTGATACACATATAATTAATCTTTTGCACGGAAGTCCAAATATCTGTGGTAATAGAAATTGTTTTTCCATACATTTTGAAGTAATTTCTTAATTTTAACTTCTCCTCTAGGTATAATTGATAACAATCTCGTGACACGGTCCAACGAGAGGGTATTTTAAACCTAGACTATGTAACCGACATGAAGTTTTTGAAACCATCACCTTCCACAAACCGAAATGGAAGCTCATCAACAATGACCATTCTTGCTAGTTCTGACCTAATGGCTTCCAGATCAAATTTCCAACTAGTTAAGCTTCCTACCATTTCATCACCCTCAGCTATTGCTTGCAAATTCAATTTCAATTGTTTTTTTTTTCGGCCACATCTGGATGAGCTTTACAAACCGACATATGGTGAAGAAGTGAAGACGTACCATTCCTTCGAGTATCACACTTATATGTTTTCTGGCAATGTTTGCATTCAGCCCTGGTAACACCTTCGACCACAGTAATTTTGAAGTGATCCCAAGCTATCGACCTTCTCGTATTATTACTGGCCCCTGCAATCTCGGTACATGCAGTAGCATCAGCTGCAGCACTTGAACGCCCCAGACGGCTCCTCTTTAATTTTGATGTCTGACTTGCAGCCGATCCGACATCCGTGGATGGTAGACCTCCTGTTGGTGAATCATCCGCCATCACCTCAGCCTCAGGTCCTCAATAACAATGTTCTAAACAAAAACAAACAACAATAAGTACAACATACCACATTTCCACGAACAATATTATACATACAAAAAGAATTTCGAAATTGGGGCTGAAATTAATTAGGGCAAAAAATATAATTATTTGAAGATTTACATCCAATTCTCAGAAATTAAGCATCCAATAAAAACTTTCTGGTGAGAGCTGAAGAAAAACTAAAGAAATTAAGCATCCAATAACATCTTTTTGAATCTCAGTCTTCAACAAAACTGAAGAAGGACTGAAGAATTGAAACGAGAGAAGGAAAAAAAACACTTTTTGATTCTCAGGCCTCTACAAAAAGTGAAGAAAGAGAACGAATCGAAATGAGAGAAGAAAGAAAAAGTCGAGAGAATGAGTGAGAGTTGACCTAAACTGACGAAGCCGGTGGAAGACGAGCGAGCCGACGGTGAGAGACTGAGAGCGATGTTGAGACTCGAGAACTCCGGAGGGTGAGAGTGAGGGGTTTAGAGGGGCGGAGCTTGAGGGTGAAAAGTGAAAGCGCCAAATGGGTGAGCGGCGGAGGTTGAGAGACGAAAGCGGGGTTGAGACGATAGAATGACAAGAGTAAACATTAGGGTTGATTTTAATTTTGAAGTTTTAAATTTTAAATGTAAAAATAAAAGACTAAAAGTGCTGCTTGTATTTTATATGTAAAAGTGTAAAAGTAAATGACACTTTATGACATGCTGTGCGGTTCGGTTTTAAAATCGCACCTTTCGGACAGAAAAATGAACCGCACCGAAATTTTTGCGGTTTTCCAAAATCCAAACCGCACCGTTAACCGAACTCTTAAAAAACCGCACCAAACCGCACCGAATTGCTCGGTTTGGTTCGGTTTTTTGGTTTCGGCTTGGTTTTGCTCACCCCTAGCTTTGGATGATATTACACTTTTACCCTTTATGAAAGAGAAACATATTAGATTAAATACGTTCTGTTGTTTTGCATTAGATAGTGTGGGTCGTCATCGGTCGAACTGAAGATCATGCTATCAGTCACTCGCGAAACAAGAATAAGTGGTTCACAACCCAGATGGACATGAACACCCCATCGCGAACGGTTGTAGTGTCAACTATATAGTTTGTCTTGACTGATTAGTTGCACTAGTACATTTATGTATTGAACAGGATCCCAGAGAGGTGCAGTTCATTTTATACTGATCGTCGTAAATGAACTAGGCTTCGGTTAGTTACTGCGTACTCTTAAACCATAAAATATTAAACAGATATATATGTGTAGTATTTATTGTTAGTGTTATATACTGAAAGCTTGGCTTTGGATGATATTACACATTTACCCTTTATGAATGAGAAACGTGTTAGATTAAACAAGTTCTACGTTCTGTTGTTTTGCATTACATAGTGTGGGTCGTCATCGGGCGAACCGAAGATCATGCTATCAGTTACTCGCGAAACAAGAATAAGTAGTTCACAACCCAGATGGACATGAACAACCCATCGCGAACGGTTGTAGTGTCAACTGTACAATTTGTCTTGACTGATTAGTTGTACTAGTACATTTATGTATTGAACAGGATCCCGGAGAGGAGCAGTTCGTTTTATACTGATCATCGTAAACGAACTAGGCCTCGGTTAATTACTGCGTACTCTTAACCCCTAAGATACTAAACAGACATATATGTGTAGTATTTATTACTTTGATTCACATGGGTGAGGTTTAATGAACTGGGCCAATAGACCCGCTGTCTTGGGTAATATTGCTACATGTAGGATGTGGTGTTAGGATAATTACGGTCACCATGTGCGTTAGTTTGATGATGTCCCCGGAGTGAGTTCATGAAGGATTATTATGCTAAACCCTGCATGTGGATTAAATTTTGGCATAGTAATAATGTGATGAACGAGCGGTAGCTACGGTGAAATAATAATAAATTAATTAATTCTCGATTGTCAGTAATCGAAATAATTAATGGACATTTTATCTTAAACATGGGGAGATAAATCGAGTAATTATTATTGGAGTCTCAATTGTCAATTGGGCTAGGAATAGGGAGTGCAATAAAATTATGTTGGTGGCCCATTTAATATTATTTAATTAATTAAAATAAGTGGCTTGGTCCACAAGTATTTTAATTAATTAAGGAGCCCTAATCCTGATCGTCTAAGGATCCCTACTGTAGCTCTATATATACATCATTAAGCTCATGGGAAGAAGAGAGAATTCCACATCTTGGAAATCACGCCCCACGCATCTCTTATCTCTCTCAGTTCCCATTCGAGCTTTATCTTCTTCTTGTTGTTCCACGGGTACAAGATTAGGAGGTGTTTGAGATATACAGTAGAAGACCTTTGGGTAAAGTGAGATGAAATTTATTTGATCGTACAGAACTGTCAGGAGGTCCGATCAAGACATGCAGCATACCCAGACGACCGCCTCGACGAGAGCTTTCCAACGTCGCTGAGATCGCAGCCGTCCGACCACCCACGCGCCCACACGCGCCGCCGCAAGGTCCCAGGACTGTAACTTGTCTTCATCCATTTTGCACTCGTTTGATCCGGTTTTCGATTCGATCTTATTCGTGCAATCCTAGGACGCGATTTGCAATCAACAATTTATTGGTGTGCTGTGTACGGCCATCCAGAAAAGATCAGCCAGATCGCCATAAATTTTAAGCCGTAAGTTCTCTACGCAAACCTTTAGATCCGCTGCGCATAGGTTTATGTTTTGCTATTGAATTCCTGATTTGTGCATAATGAGATCTTCATTGATCCCAACAAGTGGTATCAGAGATTGGTTTAATTTTTTGTGTACAAGTTCTAATTTTTACGGCTTTATTTATCAAAATGTGTTCAAACGCAGCCATATATTGGATTACATTCGCATAACTCGGTTTTGCAGGAATTAGTTTAATCCAATATTATGGCCGATTATGTGTTTGATGCATGTTGATGAATGTGATGTATGGTTTAAAATTTGTTTTTAAAGCCTCGGACATGTCGAGGAATTTGATGGATGAATGTTTGTAATAATTATTCGCCGGAGGGTTGACCGGATAGATTTAATTATTTTGTTTAGAAATCATGTACATCCATTCGTTGGATCTAGAAACGGATTATGTAATTTTATAAATTATATTTTTCGTGTTGTGATTGTGGATTAATTGTCGGGAGATCACAAGAGATCAACGAGCCTTGAAAGACCAACCGGGACGAAGCCCGGAGCGCGCATGGACACGCGCGAGAAAAAAATATATATATTTTTCGACCGCCGGACGGCGGCGACGGCGGGCTGACGGCGGTGGAGAGGTTTACTTGGTGTCCAAGCAGTACAAGATCTACAAGGATTCTACTGCAGTGGAAGTTTCAGTTGAACAGGAAAAGAATATACAAGGTTTCCTTGTTTATGGGAACTCAATATTTAATGGCCATAATAGTAGATTTATTTATTTATTTCTTTAAATTAATTATGCCATTAATTATTTATTTATTTATTTATGCATGTTAATTAATTATTGTACTTGCATGGATTAATTTAGAATTGCATATTTAATTATGCATGTTAATTAATTATTTTATTTACATAGGATTAATTTAGAATTGCATAAATATTTAAATAAGTAAAAATCCTCATTTAAATTATACTAAGTTTGAGAAGGGATTTTAAATTAAAGTTAATTGTAAAATTTCTAAGGCCTCCATTTCTAATTAGTCGGTAAATCAATTAATTGCGGTTATGGGCTCCCCTCGGGTGACATCACTAAAATTAATTGTAGGAATTTACCAGGATGAATTTCTAATTAGACGATTAGAGGGAGTCTTATGAGAGAGTACGGGCTTCCCCTCGGATGACGTATAATCGAATTCGTATGAACTCAGGATCGAGAAATGGGATTCACTTAGAATGCGATTTATTTATAACTCCCCTCGGGATCCCTGAATTTATTGCATTGCCAAATGAAGACCGACTATTAATTTCATTCGTCATGAATTTGGTTTTGACTTATAGTAATTAATGGGCCTTTGAAAGCCCTTCTCTTGCGAATGTTGAGTTGTGTAGAGTTGCCCTCGCATCATGCATTAACTCTCGGTGTTTTGAGATGTTGGTGAATTTAAGTTAATATTGTTTTGAGGATATCAATATTAGCAGTTAAATTCAAATGTGTTTAATCTGTAAAATTATTTTCGTGTTTCTCAGATATTCATCATGTGGTTAAATCCGTTATCTGTCATTCTAAAAGAAAATAAACTTACTGGTCCTAATTACATTGATTGGAAGAGGAACTTAGACATTGTGTTGACTGTTGAGGGTTATAAGTTTGCGATTACTGAGGCTTGCCCGGCAGAACCCGCGGCTGATGCTCCTGTGCAGGAGAAAGGGGAGAATGTCCGGTGGAAAAAGGCTGATGAGATGGCGAAGTGTTACATTCTGGCATCTATGTCAAATGTTCTTCAACATCAGCATCAGTCTATGAACAATGCGGCAGATATACTTCTCAATCTCAGGAATCTGTTCGGACACCAGTCTAGGGCTGCTAGGCAAGAGGCCATGAGTGCTCTGATGACTACGCGCATGGCAAAGGACACACCCGTAAGGGAGCACGCTCTCAAGGTTATGGCGCTACTCAATGAGCTTGAGGTTATGGGTGTTTTTATTGACGGGGAAACCCAGGTTGATATCATGCTCCAATCTCTGCCGAAGAGCTTTGATCAGTTCCGGTTGAACTACAACATGCACAAGATGCATATTGCTCTTCCAGAGCTGTTAGCAGAGCTTCAGTCGGCAGAGGCCTTATTCACTCAGGCGCCTCACGCACTGGTTGCCGAGCAGGCTGGACCTTCTAGGCCTCACAAGGGCAGAAAGAGAAAGAAGTCTGCAGGAAAGGCAAAGGTGCAGGATGCCCCGGTGGTACAGTGACCGCGCCCTCAGTCTGTGGCAAAGAAGCCGAAAGGTAGATGCCACAAGTGCAACAAGTCAGGACACTGGAAGATCGACTG